GCTACCGTGAAGAGGCTTAGGAACTAGCATCAAGACTACTTAATGACAACATTCACCGAAACCGGCTGCCAACGGACTGCTGTTTCCGCGCATCACCCCGCTACTCCCTGGTTCAGCTAACCTTAAGACACGAAATTTCACCTACCTGGTAGTATTCCGCTGACGGGTAAGTCACACAGGGATTTCTTTGCTAGAACGATTGTTTATTAGGCTCACTGCCTGAACTCATATCTATAAAGGTTTATCGTTTGAGTGGAGTCTCATAGCATGAGCAGGAGCACATATGGAGACATTTCTACTGATATAAGGCAAATATTTATCATTCATTCGGCAGGGATGTACACAATGGGCAATACGCCGAGCTGTTGAACAAAGAAGTGGTGTCCCTAAATAAATCTTAGTTTACGTGATTTATTGAGTTGGCAAACCATGCACAAGATGCAGAGAGAGTTATTGCACGAAGTCCCTAAAAAGTTTTTTTCGGAGACGACGATTACAACTATTAATATAATAAAAACAAAAATAACAAAACAATCGATATCATATGGCAATCGGCAATGAATCACGGTGGGTGGACAGTGAGGATAGCCAAGACGTGGGAGATTCACCGGTAGATGATCGGCAGTATAACCTTTGTACGTAGTTCATCTGAAACGCACATTTCTTAGGTACAGGCACACAAACATACGTCAGGAATGTGAAAGAACCCCAGGAGAAAGTGAACTTACAATCCATCTGAGCTGCTAGTGTAAACACCCGAATCCTGTGATTCCAGTGCATCAATTCGCTCGATGATGACTAGACGGAACAGGGTTGCTAACCGCTCGTGTTCCGATTCCAGTTGTTTGATCTCAGCGGCAACTTGTCCCGATTCCGCACCTTCAGCGATGCTACTGGCAGCAGATTCCCGTGCCTGGAAATTGGGGTAACAGTGGTACCAAAACAGAGACAAATCAGTCTGACACCGACTGAAATTTCTGTAAAAGTAGACCAACTCATGAAAATGTTGTGGGCATGGAAAAGCAGTAATGTTAAATACATCTACAAGACAAACGGAAACGCATCGCGATGCCAAGAGAATAAAGGTTCGAGAAACAAAAAATAAACTCAGCTAAGCTTGAATATACTTTACTTATCGAACCGATGGTAAACAGTGAACCAGGGTCGATAATTCCCCAGGGTTTATCAAATTTCATAAAATCTTGGGGCTTAATATCCCTTGGAATGAATTCAGTCCAACATAAAGTCACCATTGTGAACCTCGCACCTGATAAATTAAGCACACGGAATTTGTTTATCGAATTATCCAAAACTCCGTCAGGATAAATGTATTAAATGATATCAAAGCTGATAAGCAACAAAGGCGTCCGTCAAAGAACCACTACTTCTGAGCGAACTACAATGAACAGATTTTATACATCGAAATCTTAGGGCATAAATAAAATGGCACGTCCTGAATACGAATTATTTCGCGATCCCAACGTTCAACTGTCAAAAAAACGTACAGGCATGGAGTGTTTTTACTATAATCCAGGTCTCACGAGATTGAAACAAAAACAAACTAAACAGAAAAATCGGATTACCTTCGCCAGTGTTCGGCGCAGTTCACGAATACGAAGCCACATGTTTTCAATCTGAGAGAGTGAGGGTAACTCGCCGGACGATAGGTGGTCGGATGGAGTACAACTGAGTTGAGTGGACTGAAGAGCGTTCTGACCGGAATGAAACGAGCCTGAGGCGGGCACAGTTTGACTCTCGGGACCAAACGAATTCGATTGCGCGAACAGTTGTCCCGGGTCGGTTACCGAAGCTCCAGTGGGGTTAGTTATAGACACGGTTGGTGTAGTTGCAGCACCTGCAGACGCTACAGTGGGAACAGTTTGGCACAAGAGATCTGTCGCTTGTGTAAGCGACAGTACACTTGGGGTGAGGTAAATGGTTGGTTTGCTGACCAGGCCGGAAACATTTGGTAACACAGGGGTTTGAACCATCCCAAGGTACATCCCAATCGGATGAGAGGTGGGTGCTCCACTCATCGGTAGATTAGCAGTCCCCAGCTTGATAGGAATAAGTGAAGTGGATCCGACAGAGTTCAGATACCTGTGCGAAGACTGAGTCACAGTTTCGGGACCACAAGTGGGCACTGTGGTGGATGAAATATAACACATAAATGATTATTTTGACCTCTTTTCAGTTTATGCGAAAGATGTAACACAAAATCTGGGATATGCGTACATATCGGATACCCACTCGCGTAACCAGAAACTGCGTCAGTTCATTACAAACGAATAAGTCGGGGTGATCCGAGAGCTTCTGAGTTGAAAAACAAGTTTACTCAACCAATAAGTATGTTTCGAAAAATAACGCTCAATGGGTTTAATTAGCAAACAGTTGATCTGAATACCAGGATGTATCGATGTGCTACTTTTGGTGTCTCCTCAAAACGTGCAAATGCCCTGGCATAGAAAGAATGAGAATGATTCACGGAACCAAACATAACTATGTAGTTATTCTCACGTGACCTATTGTCGCATGATTTGTGAGGACGTAAATTACACATGCCATTAACGAGATTGAGTTTGCACAAGGTCATGGTATGTTTGTGGGTGAATGGTGTGTACAGGTTATAGAACGACGGTGATTAGTGAAGACTGTCGGTAATAGAGAAAATAGTCTTCTGAATGAATTTTATCACATTAAGTTCAGTATACGCGAAAAAGGATAAGATAGAACTGATTTTTTCAACTCTCAGCTTTGTGCTTCTTCTACAGACACTTGAGCTGACTACATCAGTGCCCGGCGAAATGCGCAACCGGAAGACAGTAACCAAAAAGGCCACACGGAAGTGCAAGGTTAATGGTAGTGTAAACGGAAACCGTCACGCTTAATAGCTGCTAACAACTGGATACGGAGAAAAACAAAGCACAGCTTAGCTCAAGGGGGAAGTACACACTTAACTGTTAGCTCCCCTTAAACAAAATTCGTTCCGTATTCGGTTTAAAGACACACACAGGCACAGATCGAAGAATCAGAGCGTATAGTCATCGTGAACTTTGAAATCGAGTTCCACTAGGCAGAACTCCGTTTTACTTACACTACTTGATCCGAGTCAGTTGTGTGCACCTAATAACAATCAGAGTAGGCTGGTCGAAAAAGGATATCGGTTTGTGTCGACATTCCATGCAGATATCATGTGATGAGAACGATGTTTAAAACTACGCTCAATACGAGTGGAATAAGCGCACCAATCGACAGACTGTGATCGCATTCGGAACATAACGGCGCTTTGAAAAAAGATCATGTGCGACAATCAAAC